TAGATAGATAGATAGATAGATAGATAGATAGATAGATAGATAGATAGATAGATAGATAGATAGATATGCTCAAAGTTGCCAAAGTTCACTAAGAAATGCTTCGCATTTAATATCATTGTTGCTCTACAACATATCTTTTGAGAAAGAGCATTTTACTCCGCAAAGATTGGTATGCTGCAATGCGTGCTGGAGTACTTTTCAAACTGGCAAAAACTTTTTTCCCGAGACATATGAAATATCACTGTTTTCGCGCGGTAACAACGGAGTTAAGTGAACAGATCTTTTCTTCATAAATAACTGGGGAGTCAATTTAAGCAGTGCAAATGCACTGTAACTGCCAGATAAAAATATGTGACTAAGAATAGGTGCATGGTGAAGCTAAGAAACCGGGGCAAAGTGAATTTTGAAACACACACAAAAAATATGTTTCGGCTCGTATACGGGAGCCTTGTTCAAAAGTAAAATGAAGACATGAGTCTGAGTAGTTCGCCTAATGTAACCTTGAATATATCGCACAGGCAGTGTGCATACACTGATGGTAAATTACCTCCCTTCCTGCAAAGAGTGGGAGGAGTGGTCAGCGTCATGCGCGACTTGAGATAAGCACATCATGACAGTGCTTTTTCTTAAGCAAATACTTTTCTCACACAACACACACACACAGACCAACAAGAAATGGACACCCCAAGTGAAAACATTTACTAAATGTTTTATTTGAAAACCAAATGCATTTCATCTACCAGAATCGCACATGTCACCTTGAATGGGGCCCGAATACTAACGAGATAAAACTAAGCGCACATATTCAACAATTTTACTTCATCAAAAAACAAACAAGATAAAAAAAAAAGCTTCAGGCTGTGTCTTCACACATCTGCAGCACAGGATTACATGAGCTCTTCAAGTAGTCTAGTTCTTTATCACACATTCCCTCACCTTCCAGACTGCCCAATGCAGGACCGGCCGCAACTGAACAGAACCTGGTAGACCACTCCTGTTTTGGAAGAACAGTAACAATGGCTGTGCCTTATCTGGCAGCTGTCTTCACTCTGCGTACTGCAGGACTCCACCATCTATCGAAGTCATGGGCACAACTTTAAGAGCTTGTTGGGTGCTATAAACACCGAAGTTATGCCATACCTCACTGCTATGTTCTTCAGGCCATGGCACATCCTCTGAACATATGGGAAAACTTAAGCTTCTTAGGGCCACTTTCCAACCTTTTGGGTATTCTTGCCATATCTCTATTTACTGCAATAAGTTTTCTACAAACAGTGTTCCAAACATAGGTGTGGCACCCAGCTGCCCCAAGTCTGTGTATCTGGTCCTGAAAGCTGGAACATAGCTCATGGACACATTATCGGAGCAGCGAGGATCTAAGCAAGACAATGCTGTTATGCGTTTGATTACTTTTGTGTTACCGGATACGAAACTTAGCTGCGGCATCTTGGCTCGTGGACTGTAATGCCAGCACACATGTTCTGTTTTAAAGGGCATTTTTATATCCAAAAAATGTAGCGACTTGTTTCTTAGAAGTTCTATTGTGAACTTCAACTCACAAGCATTTTCTCTAAAAACCTCAAGTACATTAATAACATTCTGGTTGTAATTATCCTTCTGTACGAACACTAGATAGTTGTCGATACAATGAAAGATGTGTTCTGCAGTCCCTGCTAAATGTTCTGACCCTTTCCTATCAACATAACTGAGAAATATGTCCCTGAGAATGGGTGCTATAGCCAACCCAATACACATACCCCCCACCCTGTGCACACAAAGGTCCTTGCTTACACCAACTACCGTAGAGAGTAGATATAAAATGAGCTGTTCATTAACAAGCCCCTTGACCGAAATTCCAACTCATCTTTATGTTGTGTTATACACCTTTTTACGCTCTGTAATTGTGTGGAAGCGAATAGCAGAGGTCCTCCACGTCGATGCTCGCCGCACACAGGTGTAAAGGATTATCGTTCCGGAAAAAATCGACCAAGGCTTGGGAGTTGTGGATTCGATAAGGGTCATTAATCTTCAAAACAATCAAATGTCTTTGTAGGAAGAGGAAAACCATTTCCAGCGACGTGCATCTCTCTCGTACTATTGCCCAAAAATGAACGTCATTCCTGTGCATTTTGGCAATAAAAAACATGTCAAGCTGCATTCCTTCTGTCTTCTAGACACTCACTGCTACGGCGTCCAGTCCCGACTCGAGAGTGGAGGAAGTGCATTTTTCTTTACTTTGGCAATTTCCACCATCGCTCTTTAAAAATTTTTTTCAATGACTGCACTGGCCTTTCTAGCAAACAAGCTTTTTGACAGCACAACAAAGTGACCTTCTTCATTTGGGAGAATTAGCCTTAGTTTTTCTTCTACAAAAAAAGCTTTCTAGGGTCAAACATCATCGTCAATCAAAATTATTGCTGCTAAAAAAGTTCCAATGGTTTTCGCTAAACAATCAGTACTAATGAGTTTACCAGACTTACCACATGCGTGCGTGCATGTGTGTATGCGTGATACAAAACATGCCCATTCATACTAAGCCTGGAACGAAAAGAAACATTTTCTCGGTGCTAAAAACATAGAGCTATTTCTTTATGGGAATGTATCTACTACAAGGAGTGTCACTGGCCTCCGCAGCATTGCACCTGATGTGTGAAACGTACTGTATCCTAATTGCGGCACACTTCGCTTAGCAGACGTTTGTTATACCGACGCTAATTAAGCACACTACTCTGCTCATCTGTGCTCGGCCTGGAGCAAAGTGGGGACGAGCAATTCGTACAGCGAATCTGTGGGCACAGTACAGCAAGCTGCCCAGCATCGACGGAGCAGGAAGTGTAAGAGCTGCGCTGCACACAACTAACCAGGAGATGATCCGAGTCTAGGCGACCGCTCTGTATATCAATGAAACTGCAAATGTCGCTTAGCATTATATCATGGTAATAAGCGCACACGTGTATCGCGAAAAGGCGACATTGTCTATTCTCTCCCTATTTCAGTCTATCTGTATCCCAGACACTTGACATCGCCACTGCGCGCGATAAAACAAACCGCGCAGAAGTGCCGTACGATCTATTCTGCACTCTGGCGAAAAGGAAGACTTTCTGGTAGGTACTCTGGATGACATCTGCTGTGGTACTGTGTCCCTTTATTGGTAGTGAAGGGGCACATCTGGAGATGCACATTTGCACTTGTAAACGTGCATTGCCATTTAGTGCATGATTGTGCCACATTCTCTACTGGTACAAATCATCGAGGTTTCACTGTATTACTAGATAATAAACAGTTATTCGTATTATTGAAATCACTTTTTCAGGGAAACCACGGCAATACACTAATAAGAGCCCCACGAATGAAGCGAATTACAACGTGATCAAACTCTACTGGATACAGATGCGGCTGCGTCATTGGTGTAGCCAACGCTCATTGTTCCTCGGTTAACCATAATATTCGGCTAAACTTGGCATTTTAAATTTCCAATCGACAAATATCACGAAAATTGCTGTTTATACACAGGCTGCACTTCCACCTCTGTTTTTTTTTCAGTTTTTTTTTACTTAAAGTAGCCAGGAAACCATCACATGGAGGCAAATAAAACAGGTGAGATTGGTGCAGAATGGTGCAATTGGCGAAGCACTTCCACCTTTGCATCTTTCACTGTTCTTTTTACTTATAGTAGCCAGGAAACCATCCCTTGGAAGCAAATAAAACAAATCCTTGATGTAAACATGGAAACTCAGAAACACTATTACAGTTTGTGACACACAGAAAACACTTGGTCTACACTTCAATTTTTTCAGAACTTCCCACTCAGTCAGATGCTTCTTCAGATGTCCTTGCAAGAATCTTCCGACTTGTGTAGGTGCACAAAAGCTTCTTTTTATAATGTTAGGGCAAAAAAGCATAAAGGGACACTAGACACAACTACTATTAAGTGAACGATTATTGAAACAGTGGTCCAGAAACCTCGTAGTGTTTTGTGCCAAGGAAGTGTTTATTTTGAAATAAAATCACGTTTCAGTGGTCTGAATCCAGTTGGCGCACTTCAAATTACTCGCCTCAAGCAGAACGTGTCAAGTCACTGTTGCCGTGCACAACTTTGCCAGGCTTTACTGCGTGACTGCTGACACTAGTAGCAGCAGAACGAAAGTAGTGGGAGCCAGAACAGCAACAACAGCCATTGAACAATTTCCTGCCATGGCCTGTAAAATGGCAGACGTGCTTGGTTCAACTGGCCCCTGCTAGATGGCACAATCTGACCAGTTTCACCAGGCGAAAATTGAACTTTTGAACCACTCGCGCCATTCCCCATAGTAACGTCTGGCAGTTCTTTTTCCTATAAATCAAATAGAAATAAACAGGCAGCATTTTATTATGTCTCTTGATGCACGGAAGGTTCTTTATTTAGTGCAGCTAGTTTAATTACTATTGATTAATTGTAGGTGGTATTTCTGACATAATTGGGATCATTTTGCGAATGTCCTATCGTAACGCATGTGTTCTCGTGCATTTACCTTAATTTCTCGGCAAGTAGAGCACTGCTGTAGATGATATTGTCGTTTTAGACCTTGCCATACAATGAGCTCTCACTCCGACATAATTTGTTATTTGACTTTAGTGTCCCTTCAAGCTTGCGCAGAGCAGCTTTACGGTGACAGAATAGCTGATGTTTAGCACAAGCGAAGTCGACTGCACGACATACCTTGCACAGTGCGCAGGAAAATGTGGGATAGTATCAGCATATGGGACAAAAAAGAGCATCAGTATGGTAAATAAGGACTACAAAAAACTTTGAGTTTATTAGTTTACTTATATCATCAGCCGAAATATGCCAGTTTTTCAGGGCGAGTGAGGAGTACCACAGGAGATGTAGTACATGCTTGCCCTATGACCTTAAAGTCGTGCGCTGAATGTTCTAAAAGATTAATGCTTTGCGTGTTGTCTCTATGTTGTAGTACCCCATATGGTCTAACTGTAGAACGACGAATGTAGACAAGTCTCACCTTGCTCGCCAAAAATTTTGACCCTCCAATCTTTATGATGGGCTTGGGATTTTCCGCGACATTAAGAGCAGAGAAGTGGATGAGTTTTTCCACACCGCTCTCTCTGGCAATGCGGGCAATCCTCTCAGCACCTTTGACGTGAACTTCGTTGAAGGTGAAGTTGCTGCACACAAGAGGGAGCAGACAAATTCATTCTACAAGTATGAGCCCAAAATGCAAGCTCTGAATTCCTCATCAGTGATGAGCATGAAAGCCAGCCACTGACTCAGCCTGCCTGCACTCACTGAAAGAGTGCTTTTACCAATCAAAATCATCATCAAATGACCCCACTGAAGGGACCTCTCACTGGAAGTAATTTTTCAAATGCACAAAGTATAAGCACAGCTGCGGCACAGCTGCGAAAATTTGCTTAACAGTATTATTTCCATTCCTGCCTGGCTGCTGGAGAGAGCCATGTCATCACCTCAGAACTTTTACAACGAAAACTGTTAAAAGATCACAACTCGTGTCCCGCACAACACCGTAGTTGTCCGCCGCCTGTGTCCGTAACCATATCGCGCAAAGTTACAAAAAGAAACCTAGTACCAATGACACAGTGGGGCTCAAACCTAGGTCCACTGGGCGCAAGCCCAGTATTCTACCACTGAGCTACGCTGGTGCTTGTGACTTGTTGGCAAATTTGCCTTAGGCAGGCTTGATGCCGGAAAAACAATCGCATTAATACGACTTATAAAGGGTTTTAAAACAGCGAAAGAACAAGCAGTCGTCGCACAATACAAATAGCGCAACAAGTGGGTCGTCCAATACTCCGACCCATTACAAAAGCTTGTTTTTGTTCAGCTGTTAACTGTGGCGCATACCCACTTCATGCATAATTCCTCATCGTCGTCAGCCACTGCATGAATAATTGGCACGAAATTCCTTGCAATACTTCAGTGAATACCGCACTTCTCCGAAGACCCACAAAACATAGCATAGCAAATTCTGGCCTACTACCTTGAAAGTTTACTGTGAATGCCGCAGTGGACATCAAGCAAATGTGATTGCAGCAGTTACCCAATGAATGTTTAGAAAAGGCGCTGAAAGGATGCTCTTCTAGCTTTCGCTATGACTCTCCTGCGCCTTCAGCGCAGACCTGGCATTTTTTTTTCTTTTTTCCTTTAGGTTTAGCACAAAAGAACGGAGGAGAATGCAAACTTACACAGTGCAAACTTGTGTCATCAGATTCTGCTCTCTTACCCTAAATATTGTGCCCCCAGTATAGACATTTGCACCATGCAGCGCACGTGCATCTCGCACATTTACCCCAGTAAGGTTTAAAGGCTGCCAAGCGAGAAGTCAAGTGGCACTGTGTTTGTGCAGGTTAGGGTTTGCGCAGTAGAGCCAGTAGTGCCACAGCACTGCTGTGGCAGAGAGAGCAGGCCAGCACACAAGAAACAGTAGGGAGGCTTTTTGGGGCTAGACAGTTCGTATGGATGGTCTTCTTCTCAAGGACCGGCAGGAGATGGTAACCGTAGGTCGTTTCTGACAGATTTCTCATGGTGAGCCAACCGTCTTCGATGCCACATTCGTGGTACCTTGTTGGTATATTGTTTGTGCATTATAATGACATTGTATACGGTTGTTTAGCGTGTCACTAGTGATATATTTGATTTGACTGGCAATATTGTCGTTTGTAAAAGCAGATATACATGTTTGTTTGACTTGCTCAAGCATGTCTGTTACAAGAGTGCACCTCATTACGAGATCCCTAAAATAGCTGCCTAACGCGGAGCTCTTGGAGTATCGTTTGACAGTTTTCACAATTTGGAACCTTTTATTCTCTAGCAGGTGCAGAGTAGGCTCAGGTGACAGTGACGACGATGACAAAGAGGTCAGGAAGTCCAGGGACAGTAAAGCGGCAGCAGTGCAAGATGAGGACAACACATGACGAGTGTGTTGGTTCACAGGGCAATATACATTAACGTAAAAAAATTCACTCCTTTGAAAGCAGCGCAACAGTTGACAATTCATCAAATGTCAATCTGAGGCAACTCTAAGTATCGCCTGCCCTTTGTCTAGATTTCTGGCGGCTCCTCCAAAGTGGGCACCTGGCTTTGGAAGGGCACCGTGCACTTTTGAGGACATTAGCGCCATGGTTATGACCATTTTGGCTTCGATATATGGGGTCACAATGTGAAGAACAAGCGTGGTAGAGTCCCAAGTGCGAGCTCCAACTTTCTGCATGAGATCAAAACTTTGTCCAGCAAAACATGGCAGTAGTGCTGCTTTACAATGTCGTCATACTCAAATTGAATGGCATAGACTTTCTGTTGGGCAGTGAGCTTTCCATCTTTGCAATAAATAGCTTGCTCCCACCTTTTGAATTGTGTTGGATTCAGTAGAACCTCATTTATACGTTCTCATTTATTACGATTTCCCAGCTTCTACACTCGAAATTGCAAAAACTGGGAATTCCTTCATGGAGCTACGTGTTAATACGCTCCGCCTAAGATGTTCCCAGAAAATACGATTATTTGGCAGCAACATTCGGCATTGCGGCAAACTGTGGTCACATGATACGTTCCGCAAACAAAAATTCTCATTCAGGAGTAGGGAAAAAACAGCTCTCGTGTGCTTGTGAAGGGTCAAGTGGCAGACTGCCGTCGCGCGGCAATAGCGTTTTTTTTTTTTTTTTTTTTTTTTGCTGTGCTCAATTGCCCCCCCCCCCCCCCTAAAATAGACAAATGTACACACACAGACCCGTCTGAGCCATCGAAGCCTTCAAATAGTTTTTAAAAAATGTCTGTTATTTTCAGTCGCACCGTGTTTGTTTGTTTTTTCTCAGCTGGCATCTTGGCAAAAAAGTTTGAGATACTGTATTTAATTGCATAATCCTTGCAACCCCTATTTTTTCGCGAAAACCAACGAAAAAATAGGGGGTGCGAGAATCATGCAAAGGACGTTTTCTGCAAAAACCTACGAAGACGCACAAAAAAATGGCCACAAATCGGGATTCTCACGCTGGCAACTAATTAAAAGCTTTCAGAAGTACTTTTATGAAAGACGGCGACGCCAACACGGTCCCGAAGGTGCCACTGCTTCGAACTCCGCTGGGAAGGTCACCAGTCGTTTGGTAGCGTAGGTTTCTCAGCTCGCGACTGCTTCTGCGCAGAGCTGATAGACGAGCGGACGAGACGACGGCGAGTTAAACAAGGTTTATGTACAGCATATATACAGAGGCGTTACAAATTCGGCACTGGGGCTGACAGTTTAGAGACTCGAAGAGCCGAGCTCTCTACTCTGACACATAGGTCTACCGCTTGCGACGCGCCGCAGGGCTTTTTTTTATATGCACTGGGAGGATTCTTTGAGTAACCAAATGTCCAACTAGAAGTGCCGCTGCTCGTGAGGTCAGAATCCTCCAATGGGGTCGCCGCTGGGCCGCGTCATTCTCATCGAATCCGGAGCCGCTGCGGGTGGTTGGAGCCAAGGACGAGCGACTTAGCCAGGCATTGCGTAAGACTCGCCAGACAGAAAGACGCCTGTTGCTGCAACGGGCTCGCTGTGCGTGCACGACAGAAAAGCACCGCCGCGTGATGACGCCGTTGAGTTTTTGCGTCAGGCGGGCTCGCGTGCTGGCATTGACACAGATTGCCTTTTTCAGAGGCATGAACGTTCGGTGTGGACTCGCAGGCATAACAGCACCCCCACCCCCAGACAATGCGCCGGAAAGACGAGCTGCTTGCACGTGGCTTGGATGTCAGGCGCGCTCGTTCACCAGGTCCCTCCAGGTTCGCCTCCAGGGCCATGGGGAAAATGCAGCTCCAGACTCTGTTCCGGGAACACATCTTATTCTTGTTGAAAAAACAGGTCACTGACCAATGTCAAACAAAACAATGACGTTTCGGGACCCGTACGGGTCCCTTGTTCACAATGGAATGACGGCTGAGCAACAGGTTCTTATGTAACGTTGAGCGCATGATGCAAAGTCCGGGAGTACACGTGGTTTAGTGTGCCAGATGATCTATTGATTGTGTTACTTGTCGTCTGAATGATTAGTGATTCGAGGTTCAGTCTGGTTGTAAAATTCTTCTCCGTGGCTACGATGCGTGCGTTGTCCCAGCTTATCTCGTGGCCCGTCTTCTCGGCATGCTCTGCGAGTGCATTTGTCACTGTGTGGCCCTTGGCGACGTCATTCTTGTGTTGCATAAGACGTTTGCAGTAATTTCCACTCGTGCCAATGTACACCGATTCGCAATCGGCGCATGGTATCTTGTAGACCACACCAGGAAAATGTTGCCAAGGGAGAGGATCCTTCACATTTAGCAACTCAGCTTTAAGTTTCCTTGCTGGAACATGCGCGATCAGTACACCACGTTTTCTGAATAGACGGGCTAGGGCTTCGCTTATATTTCGAATATAAGGAATCGAAGCACGCTTTTTTGTAGACGATGTGTTATGCATGGCCTGACAAGTTGACCGCAGTTTAAGCAGGACGGATTTAGTTGTTTTCTTAATAAAAATCTTGGGGTATCCATTCTTGATCAGGTCATCTTCAATGGTCCGGAGCTCCTCCTGCAGGCTTTCTTCATCGGAACAAATGTGAATCGCTCGTTGAACTAAAGACCGAATCACTGAGCGTTTGTGGGCTACCAGGTGGACTGACTCGTAGTCGAGGTATCTACCGGAGTGCGTTGGCTTTCGGTACACAGCGAAGGCGAGGCCTGTGGGAGTACGTTTTACAACTGCATCCAAGAAAGGGAGGCAACCGTCTTTTTCTTCTTCCACAGTAAACTTGATGGAAGTCTCGACGCCATTTAGGCAGTCAAGGAAAGCTTGGACGTCTTTCTTCTTTATCACGCAGAAGCAGTCGTCGACGTATCTCAGAAAAACCTTGGGTCTCGGCTGAAATGTTCGCAATGCTTTCTGCTCAATTGCTTCCATTGTGATATTCGCAGTTGTGACCGAAATCGAAGCTCCCATTGCAGTACCGAAAACTTGCCTGTAGAATTCACCCTTGTACGAGAAGTAAGTGTTGGATAGGCAAAACCGTAACAAGGTGCACAGCTCGGTGACGTCGAACGGTGTGCGATCGGCCAATGTCGTGTCCTTGTGAAGCAATTGTCTGGAAATGTCTACAGCAAGGTCGACGGGAACACTGATCAAGAATGGATACCCCAA